TGCCAGAAGGTTTGCTGTATCTCCCAACACAGTCTTAAGAGCTTGTGCAGCGATGGTCTGGGGAGGTATATCCATGGAGGGATGCAGAGACTCCTACAGGCTAGACAACGGCACCTTGACTGCCATTAGGTATCGGGATGAAATCCTTGGACCCATTGTCAGACCCTACGCTGGTGCAGTGTATCCTGGGTTCCTCCTGGTGCATGACAATGCCCGGCCTCATGTGATGAGAGTATGCAGGCAGTTCATGGAGGATGAACGAATTGATACCATTGACTGGCCCCCACGCTCGTCTGACCTAAATCCAATAGAGTACCTCTGGGATATCATGTTTTGGTCCATCAAACACCGCAGGGTTGCACCTCTGACTGTCTAGGAGCTCAGTGATGCCCTGGTCCAGATCTGGGAGGAAATACCCCAAAACATCATCCGTCATCTCATTAGGAGCATGCCCCAACATTGTCAGGCATGCATACAAGCATGGGGGGCCATACAAAGTACTGAGTACCATTTTGAGTTGCTGCAATGAAATTTCAGCAACATGGACTAGCCTGCTGCATCATTTTTTTACTTTGATTTTTTCGAATGTCTTTGAATTCAGTCCTCTGTAGGTTGATAATTTTCATTTCCATCAAACGATGGGGCATCCTTACATTCCTAACACATTACCCAGTCCATATCAGTAAAGATATCCAATCCAGCATGATATTTTCCCCATTGAGATCTTATGTGTTTTCAAAGTGTTCCTTTCATTTTTTTGAGCAGTGTATGTTAGCATACAATTTTTTCCTTCACAAATTATGGGGGATTTAATGTGGACACAGGTTCACTTTATTCACTTACAGTAATTTTCAAAAGTTAATGTTTGCTTTGCTAGGTGAATAATCTCTACTGTAATGTACTCTACTGTAAATCAACCCCAGTGACTGTTAGCAAACCAGAAGGTTGATTTTTTTTTCTAATAAAGCAATTAACTATTCTCTCAACTGCATACAGACCAATATTTGTAAATTAAGCTACCAAGTAGTCTTTGCAATATTTCCACTGCATATAGGCTTAGTCTAAAGTAATAACAATCACTAAAGAGCACTGGTGACCCTTTTACGTGGTTTAAGAGCCTGTTGACCATTTAATTACTAGTGATGAGCGAATAATGTAAATTTCGCTCCATCACTACCATGTTGGATCTTGACCACTTGGATGTGAAGAGGTTTTAAAGGAATTTTATCTGCATGTGCAGCCCCTCTTCTTCTGTCTTACTTATGACCACTGTTACGCTCACTGCAGATCATGTTTAATGAAGTTTTCTTTGTAGAAAAACAAACACAGACTTCCCTTTCTACTGCACCACACCCAGCACCCCATTTTGGATCTATAAATGTCCCTATAAATGGTACAGATGAAAATTAAGGAAGGAGAAAACATCCTCGGCTAATGGGATAAAGATGAAATGGGTGTATTAGGAGATGGGTGTAATGGGTATTATCCCATACACACAATAAGAAAATCGGGCAAAAATTCCTGTAAGAGAATTAATTGGTCTGATTGTTAGCATAGTGCTTTCGGTGATTCCAACTGTGTGTGCAAGGTAGAACATTTTTCTCGTACATGAACACAATGTACACAATGTCCGATTTTCACTTAATGTGTACAGTAATATTATGTAAATAATGGAATAGAAAAAAAATGTTCATGGTCAGAAGCATAGAATGGCTCTACTTCCTCTTCCACTATGCTAGTACATAGCTACCTTTGCTTACATTTGCCTTTGTTGGCCAAGAAATTTACGAGTCAATACCATTCCAACTACATCATGATACGAACTTTTGTGGAAAATTGGATGATCGGTCCAATTTTCTCATAGTGTGTACTACGTTTTTTGGACTGCAGAACACATTCTTTTTTCAGCATTTCTATAACCTGAGAAGTAGTTCTGTTGTAGTTTACAGAGAGAACTGGGTATTGCTGTTAATACTGCTTGGGACTTCAGTGCAGCAGAAGCTCTGTGCTGTCATCTTACAACAGGAAAGTATGAACTTACTGGATCAATGTGTAATTTTTGTGCTTGAAACAGAAATACTAAAACAACTTTAATTTTATATTTAAAGTACCAAAAGGGAACAAATAGGAGAAAAGTTAATTGTTAGGGTTTATATACAGTTAAAGAGCTTGTTGCTTTCTGTTCTGCATCATAACCCTGTGCTTCTTTCTAAATCCCTTCTTATTGGCCATTGTTAAAGGCAGGGCGACCCACTGGATGCTTGGAAAACAAAAGGCATTACATGGGAGATATGTCAACCACCAAAATCACGAACAAAAGGGGCAAAATGGGGCAAAACATTTTGTCATACAGTTCCAAAACTTTGTACACTTCTGCCTTTGTGAACTTCTCAGATTGGGTGAGTCAATCTGCTCATCAATAATTTGAAATCATAAGTATTGAAAATATGTAGTAAGATGAAGAGTGCAGATCATTTAGGATAGTAAATAGACTACCAAGGTATCATACCAAAGTTCAAAGACAAAAGGGAACTGTACATGTGTGGGACTTTCAATATAACTTTGGTAATCATCCAATACACAAATGAATACAATTTATAAAAATATACATTTTATTCCAATATATTAAAAATATTAAATCCAACAAAACATTAAAACACAACCACCACTATATTTGTTGTATATGCTTCTTAATTAATCTACGTGTTTCATGGCTTCCACCACTTTCTCAGGACCAACACATTTTATGAGTGGTTTAAAGGATTGTGAAGGTTATACAATTATATAAAATCAAGTTCTGAAACAGAGAAAAAAGAAAACATAAATATAAAATATAAATTATATATCCAGTTCAAACATACATGAAAGCATGATTACTCCATATAATATTTTTATTAAGTATATTAAAATAGTGTTCTCATACAAATTAAAATAGAACACAATTGTGGATTGAAGCAATCTGTTAGTTTTACAAGCTGACATAAACCAAATAAATCCTAATTTAAACTGTCCTCTTGTATGGAGTAGCAGGGCATGTAATTTGTCCTGCCAGCTATAATGCAGGCATGTCATAGAATTATTGCAGACTTGTTGGGCTCAGAGCAGTTACCAGAGAGCTGTACTGGTTGGAAATACAATCAATAAGGAATTTTATAATAACCTACAGAAAATGATGCTTTCCATAAAAATAGGATTTTGTGTACGGACAGAGCATGAGTCACAGAGCTCAGCCCAGAGGATGCTGGGAAGTAAGATTAGAGTAAATGATAAAATGATTTGCGTGCCTTAGGGTGCTATATACTCATTGCATGCAATATTAATAATATGCATTTAAGAAAGTGATTTTTAGTGCTCATTTATTCATTTTAACATTTTCTATATAAAATTATCTGTGATATTTTATGTTGCATTCTCTTGATCAGTTTCAAAAGAAACTAGGGTTTATCTGCAAGGCAAGTTGCACCGTGCAAGGGAATTTTCCCAAAAGCTTATTGAATGTGGTGACATTTCACTTTGCAAAGAATACCCAATCATGTGCAAGGGGAAAAAAAATAGCATTTTGCTTGCATGTGATTTGATGATGGAAGTGGGCAGAACTTAAACTCATTCACTAAGCCCTTGAGAAAACATCATTACAAAGTGCAACTTCCCTTGCAAAGTGAACAGTCTATTAGCATTTAGCAAATCAACCCCACTGTCACCTGCCCTTCAGGTTAAAGTGACAGTGTCTACTGACAGCCCAAATTCTGTAATCCACACTCACTCTCCATCTCCCCCTTGCAAAAGTCCATCTTGAGTAAGCTCCAGTTTTGAATGATGTTGGAACTTGCCCGGGTAGATGGTGTCACTGTACCTTCATAAGCTGCAGTGTTTGGACCTGGTGATTGGCCATGCAAATCACATGAGGGAGGTTGGCCATGCAAATCCTCGTTACATCAATGAGGGAGGTCCAAGATATGACCTGGTGTGGCCAACAAACGGTATGAAGGTCCAATGTACCTCAACTTTCAGCAGCCATGCTCTGTTACATCAATGAAGTTAGGGTTCCAGCAGAAAGGTGTTAGAAGAATGCAGACTAGTGGATATACAGTGTGGCAGGCGCAGCACCCTTTGGTGCCTAGTGCGCTGTGGCATTAGAAAAATTTTGCAATCGCTGTTTCTTTGTTTGATTAGACTGACTTTACTCTGTAATTCCTCCAATACCGCTCTATGGATGCAGTAGGTTTAAAGAGCACACCGAATACTTTAGTTAACTTCTTTAATAACTTCAATCTTCTTCATATAAACTGCTTACAATGGCTTGTTTCATTTATCATACAGTAGCTTGTTTCATTTATACAGTGGTTTATTCATAGCTTATCTCGATAGGTTCAATAGATTCAATTTTGATTCGATAGCTAAATTTGTTATATTCGATAGGTTCCAAATTCGTTTAGTATGAATTCGTTCTATAGGTTCAATAATTCGATAAATTCGTTCTGTAATTTATAGATTGATAAATTCACTTGGATTTATAAATTTGTTATATTTTAAGTTCGTAAATTCGATAAGTTCGGTGGAACTACAAGTAAAACACATACAACAGTTTTACACACAGATCTACCTGCATTACTAAACAATAGAGGAACACACAAGTGCATTAAATACCTATTTGGACTTCTCTGCCTCCATAAAGCTTTTCTGATTGGAACTGTCTGTTTCCTCTTCTGTCTGGTGAGCATGTGTCTCTAGAAAATCCTAGCAGGGAGTTTTACACAGGCATAAATGTGAAACTGGCTGGGATTGGTTAAGGCTCTGTACAGTGTGAGGCTGTCTGTGATTTCATTTTTTTAACCTCCTTGGCGGTATTCCCGAGTGTATGAGTCGGGGTAGACCTCCGCCTAACCAAGAGACGGTACCCCTGGGGCGATCGAACCCAGGTTAAGAACCACTGCACTAAGCGTTATTTCTGTGATTGAGAAACCTCCTTGGCGGTATTCCCGAGTGTAGCTCGGGGTAGAATTTCTATACCAAGAACGGTAACCCCGAGCTACACTCGGGCTTACCATGCAGCGTTCTCTGGGGGTCCCTGCAGCACTTACCTTGTCCTTCGCTCCCGCGATGTGTCCCCTGCAGCGTCCCCGTCCATCTCCTCCGGCGGATGCCGGCATCTGGCTTCCGTGTTCCGGTCCCCGTGACGTCGGAACGTTCGGGCGGCGGAACCGGCGGGAAATTGGAAATTTTTAAAAAATGACATTTTTGCTGTCATTGCTTTTTCACTGCATTTCACATACATTTTGTCACATACTTTTTGTGCCCTGCTGCTTTTACACTGCTTTTGGAAACTTGTCAGACTATGGATATACAGTGTGGCAGGCCCACCCTTTGGTGCTAGTGCTGCATTTTGACTGTTCTTTCTGCCTGGGAACTTAGAAATTCCATGGCCTCAATGGCGGCCAAAAAGCATCGGCCAAAAACGTCAAAAGCGGTTTTAGAACAGCGATAGTAAATCAGAACCACTTGCAGAATTGAGTGATAATGATTTGTGGGGAAATTCGTCAACAGACACTGAAAACGATTTTGCGACTTTGCTCAGCGATGTGCGAATTTGCCTCTGTATTTCAAATTCGTGTGTTTTTGGTTTGATTATATTATTGAATTAAATTTATTATTATTATATTATTATTTTTTACGATTATTTATTAATTATAATTTATGATTTCGTGTTTCAAGTTTTATCATATCCGGAATGTTTAAATACTCTTTTTCGGATAGATTTCAGTGAGTTTTCTAAAAATTACAGCCTACAATTAAAAACTACATAAAAAAATCCTACATATTTACACATGCAAAAAACTGGTTTAAAGGCATATTTTCCTTTTCTGCTTCTGCTAACACAATGAATATATAAATGTCATATAACAATCAAAGACATAAATTACAGCAATGATTCTGCTTTTGGCTTTAACATATGCACATATATACTATACTGAGGTTATTAGCAGGTTTGGTATACACATATATGTGAACCATATTAACAACCTAGGACTGGTCTTAGCTGGCCAGCTACATACAGTACCTTGAGGGAGGGATGGACTATGTGTACTTTCTCTGAATGTGCAAGATGACAGAACCCCTTTAGAATTCAGATCAGCCTTTTATTTTCTGTTAAAATTAAAGAAAAATGAGGACATGGACTGCAAATTTATCTGTCCTCTTCAACTGACTAAAGTTTGTATGCTATAGCTCCAACAATCTCATGTTCTAGGCACTGAGTGAGTGTGCGTGGCTATGCAGCACAGAGAATTCAGTGAAAACCGAACACTGTCACTGTGCGCTGTCTCCTCTAACTTCCCAATCATACAACCTCCAAATAAATGTAATCATTGTGCAATTAGTGAATATAATCACATAAACAATATAACAGATGTCAAATAAAATTGTGCAGAATTTTAAATAAATAAAAAATCTCTAAAAATTGAATGAAAGAAAATTCTGAATCTGAGCACTCCAAGTAAATAGTGACAAAATGAGAAGGTACCCGAGAAAAGAGGCTGTGTCCCATGATCACACCACCATAAAGGGCCTTATCAAATAGTTGGATCCTGCAATGAGATCATGAAATGCCTTGCTGCCCAGCAGCCAATTTAGACATCAATCACCCAAGATGGAAATCTTTCCACCTTCCTCTCAGTAGACATGGATTGATGTCGCAGAGGCATCTGTTATTGCTCCGCCGCTAACTCTGATTCTCCAAATTCTCTAAAGAGAATTCAGTGTTTCATTTTAGAAGGACATAAACCTCATACAGAAATTGCTGTGGGCTTAACAACCAAGCCAAACATTAATATTTTTGTGTCATACTGACTTGGGGAACACTTTCCTACTAAGCAATTCTGTATTTAATCCCGTAATTCATTTATTTTTCCTGGCTTTACTGCTGCCTAATTACCCATAGGACCATTATCAATTTTCCATTTGGTCATGAAAATACAAGGCCAATGTTGAGGCTGTAAGCTCTACCAAAAGAAAATGAAAATTTGCTCTGGAACTCTATGGCAATCTAGCTAAAGATATGTGGATAGGGACTTCTGACTATTCTGGTCTGCATTGTTATTTTGGAACAGTGAATCTGAAAGAATAAAAGCCAGATGGTCAACATAACAGCCTTTTAGTCTAGGTTCACATCTGTGCAGTTTTGTGTGGGCATGTTTGCCCATTTCATTTGAATTGACTGCTGTACCTGTGGGAAATGGGGGGGTGAAGGTCCTTGACACTTTTTTGCTAAACAGAAGCACATGTTGCTGTGGCACCATGTGGTTTTGCGCACCCCAAAACACGTGGCATTTTTTCGATGCATGGGTGTGCTATTAGGAATTAATGGCACCCTTGTGCATCTGCAAAAGAGCAATGCGTTTTACCTGTGGGTCAGGAACATGTGTGATTATGCACGCGTGTACAGCCTGCACAGATATGAACCTGGACTCATGTATACATTTTTTCTTAATGTCCTCTGGCCATTCAAGAACCATTGTTTGTGTCTTTTTTTTCTTCTTCTTCTTCTTGTAAGGGTGGTAGGCAGTTTTAAAGTGGAACTACACTGCATCTGAGCACCACAAACCAAAAATGCTATTTAATTCATTATTTATATTCAAAGCAAACTCATCCATCCATCCATGTCTTCATGCTGTATTTTGCTGAAAAATTATTTTTAAAAACATCCCCTGGTATTTCTGGCAGTGACCATCTTGAGTAAGGGCAGATGATTCATGTAGCTTTTACTTCCTTTCCTGAAGGCTCCAGTATGACATAATTTGCCTAGGCATAGAAACCAGGAGGTAACTAAAGAAATGTAAAAGAAATGTAAAAAAAAAAGTTTAAACAAGTAAAAATGATATACTTTCCTATCTATATGCTAACAGCATAAGGATTAAAAATAGTCAGTGTTGATTGAGAGAGTGAAGTTCCACTTTAAATACTGCAGAGATCAGCTTTCTCTGTACTAATGTACTGTGAACCCAGGCCAATGTGGTGATGCACCCCCAGGGGATGTGTCTATGACTACCTGGGCTCACAAGAAGTAGGTTGAGCTGTTGAGAGTAGAGTGTGATGGCCTAGCCTCATCCTGGAAGAGGACTGGCATTTGGTGGCAGAGGAAGTGTTTTGTTTAGGTGATGTAGCTGGGTAGAAGGTGAGTATTGCAGAGCAAGCTGCAATTTGTATTTATAAAAAGTCCTGGCAAGTAATTTTTCTTAAAGAAATATTAAAGTGCAGTTCTGCTTCAAATATCTCTAGTAAACTTTATCACAGTTTGAATGTCTGCTGGATAGCAATAGCCATTCTGTCTGATATACTTGTTATTTGTAGCTGCTTTTTAAATGTGTGCTAAAAAAGATATAAAGCTGCATAATTTATGGCACTTAGAACTTCCCAGTACAAAGAAAACACAAGTACTGTAGTATTTTTATGGTAACAAGAAACCAATAACCGCTCATCTTAAAAGGTGCTCTAAGTTGAGAGGATAATTACAAAGTGGATCCACAATAAACTCTTCTGAGGTTTTCATGTCTGCAAATGTATTGAAATAATTAATCTTCTGGTGTTTAACTTATTTTGACGGCCTGATATGTAATAAATGCCCAACCTAGTAGCTGAAGGTTAAAGAGTTGTATATTCGTAGAATGCCATCACATTTCTTCCAGTCAAAATTTAAATGCCACTTAAAGAAAAAACAAATCTACAAACAGTCTGGGAGGAAAGCCAGATCACCAGCACAGCTACATGACAGGAAGCCTAGTCATTTAGATATAAAACACTGTCAGATTAATTTCCTTGACATAACTTTTAATAGGTAATATTTCAAACTAGAAAAAAATTACTTTGTGTTATTCCGTTCTTTTGAGAGCTACACACCACCGCCATTACTGTTGAAAAATGACCTTTCTGATGGCAGATAAAAACTTTAAAATGGATGTTGTTTTATAGGGCTGACAATAAGTTATCTCTTCTGCCTGTTTGTTTTTATGGCATGTTAATATGATTTTTTTCTTCAAATTGCAATGTTTATAGAAAGGTCAAAAATTGCATGGAAAGGAAAGTGATTACCCTGAAATCTTCTTGTGTATGAGAATTTAACAGTGAACTGCAAAAACTGATCAGAAAACACAGCAGCTACAGTGGATATAAAAAGTCTACACACCCTTGTTAAAATATCTGTTTTTTGTGATGTAAAAAAATTAGACAAAGATAAATAATTTCAGAACTTTTTCCATCTTTAATGTGACCTATAAACTGTACAACTCAATTGAAAAAATAAACTGAACTCTTTTAGGGGGGGAGGAAACAAAAAAATGAAATAATGTGTTTGCATAAGCGAGCACAGCCTCTTATAACTGGGGATGTAGCTGTGTTCAGAATTAAGCAATCACATTCAAAATCATGTTAAATAGGAGTCCGTATACACCTGTCATCATTTAAAGTGCCTCTGATTAACCCAAAATAAAGCTCAGCTGTACTAGTAAGTCTTTCCTGACAATTTCTTAGTCACATCCTACAGCAAAAGCCATGGTCCTTAGAAAGCTTCCAAAGCATCATTGTTAAAAGGTATCACTCAGGAGAAGGGTACAAAAGAATTTCCAAGGCATTAGATATATCATGGAACACAGTGAAGACCATCATCATCAACTGGAGAAAATATGGCGCTACAGTGACATTGCCAAGAACTGGATGTCCCTCCAAAATTGCTGAAAAGACGAGAAGAAAACTGGTCTGGGAGGCTGCCAAGAGGCTTTAAGGCATTAAAGGAGCTGAAGAATATCTGGCAAGTACTGGCTGTGTGGTACATGTGACAATAATCTCCCATATTCTTCATATGTCTGGGCTATGGGGTAGAGTGGCAAGACGGAAGCCTCTTCTTCTGAAGAAAAACATCCAAGCCCGGCTAAATTTTGCAAAAATACATCTGAAGTCTCCCAAAAGCATGTAGGAAAATTTGTTATGGTCTGATTTTTGGCCATAACTCCAAAAGATATGTTTGGCGCAAAAACAACACTGCACATCACCAAAAGAACACCATACTCACAGTGAGGCATGGTGGTGGTAGCATCATGTTTTTTGGCTGTTTTTCTTCAGCTGGAACTGGGGCCTTAGTCAAGGTAGAGGGAATTATGAACAGTTCCAAATAAAAGTTAATATTGGCACAAAACCTTCAGGCTTCTGCTACAAAGCTGAACATGAAGAGAAACTTCATCTTTCAGCATGACAACAACCTAAAGCATACATTCTAAATCAACAAAGGAATTATTATTATTAATATTATACAGTGTTTATATAGCGCCAAAGGGTTTGCTCAGCGCTGTACATTAGCGAGGGGGACAGAACATGACACAATACAGTACAATACAATACACGAGGGGTTCGA